TACAGCGCATCACTGGGCTGACAAACTAAGGGGTGCAGGCCAGGAGTTTTTCGAAAAATGGGTATGGGGTGCAGGACTGGGTTGTCAATGGTTGGTATGGGTTAATCTGGGTTAATTAATAATGGTCAATAATGGTGTGTGTATATATATATAACTAGGGTTATTAATGGTTGTTAATGGGTATAACTATGGGATTTAAACCTCTATAAGTTGGGATATAATCCTCCTACTATGGTGAAATCTAACTACCAAACATGCTGTAGGCTGAATATCAATAATTCGCTAGCCTGAACATAGTTGAAATGATGCGATTTGGGGATGATTTCCCGAATCCTATATATAGCCTATATAACCATCATTCCAGAATTCTGTCACAGAGAGGTCGTCACAATGTCTTCAGATATATTGATCTATCGCATCATGCCCCTATTCAACCTCTATCAAAGTCCCACAGAATCACCTCATTTTTGCTAGTTAAATCCGCATGTTTTGCTGGTGAAATATATCACTTTTTGTCCTGGTTCAATCCCACAGCCACAATCTCAATGGCCCATTTCAGGAACCTAAATTGGAGGTAAGGGCTAAGTTTCAGGAGATATACCCCCAACATATGGCCTGAAAAATGGTACTAACGTACCTCCATCTGTTGGATCCTGGAATGCCCACTGACAATCCCATCCGCAAACAGCCCAGGCGGACACAGGATGCCGGAGTGCGCCAGAGGGAACTGTCGCTGGGCGGCTGCCAAGCGGCTGGCGCGGGCCTGAGAAAACAAAGGGACGGTCGCCTGCATGGTGTCTGGCATGATCTGACTGGATATCAGCAAAACTGGTGATTTTATGGGATTTCAGGTGATTTCATATGGTTATTGATAGGGAAACAATGGGATATTATGGGATGGATATATTCGGGTATATCTCAACTAGTGGGGAAATGAATGTGTGTCTGAGACATAAAATCTCAATATATCTCAATCTAAATGGGGAAAGTCGTGATCGACCATGATCAACCATGAAATCTAAAGGGGTACCCGACAATCGACAAACAAAAGGCGATCGTATCTGGGTGAATTCACCCCACAACTGGCCATGAATAGCTGGCGATCATTTTGCCACCCACTTCTACCATAAACTTTGCAAATCATCCTGGTCCTAGTAGATGAACACATGTTGAAATCCGTCTGTTATGAAAAAATATGGCTTCATTTGCCTCGGCATCTGGTCCCAGCACTCGTGCACACAGAATAGAACTTTAATGAAGGGTCGACATTTAAGTCCTTCCACCTACATATTGGCTAGTCATTCTGAAGCTTTCACCATGCTAAAAATGAAATAATGCAAGCTTGGAACAGAAACACATAACATGTAATCCAACTGCCGAGTCTTCAGGTCCTACCTTCCGTCCCGTGTACATTCAACACGGAACCCGAGAAACATATCCACATAGGAAACCATCTTACAAACACGTAGTAGAGCACAGCATTGTAAAGCTATACTTTTATTTGCTGGTCTGGCTGGATCTTACCAGGCTGTTTGAAAAAAAACCAGTGGTAACTGATAGTCATGTGGGTGATGTTGGCAGGTTTCGGGGTCACGAACTCCTACTGGTCCTACTGGTTGAGCGATGTGAGATCATCCTATGGACCCCAGGCTGTGAAGCGGGCAAAGTCTGCAAATTCTCCCCTAAGAAATTCCAAGGTTAATGGATTTGACGGTAAAAAAACCAGGGAAATCAAGGGAAAAACGAGCAACTAACTAGACAGATTTACTGCCTGATACCTGATGAAGTTGAGGCCGGTGTACAATGTCCCATCAATTGCAAATTCCAAAGATTCCGCACAGTCATTCCACTTGATTGTGAGCAACGCCAAAGATACGCCGCAAAAACAAAGTAGGGGAACACATGTTCCATGCCTTGAAAAACCTGTAGACTGTACAGCCATTACCCTGTCATTATCTTATTATTGTACCATTAAACCACTAAACTATACATTAATCCCTATTAAACCACATCAAATGGTAGTGGCACCCAACGAAAATCATCACCACCTGGCCCAAGTTCTCCCTGCCTGGCGAATTGCGCGCACGGAATCGCAAACGCCGGACCTGATCGTGAACGCTGAATCAGTGGGATTTCTGTGTGATTCCTGATAGATAAGTCGGTTTCTTTAGGCTAAGGATTGGATAAACTTGGGGGGTATGGATAGATACATGGCGAATCTTAGATACATTTGCCAAACAAATCCTCACTTTTAGCTGGTGAATGGACTAATTTGACCATCAAAGTACTAGTTCGTATCTAACCAAGGTTGACCCACAATGGATCAGATTGAATTTCATCGAAATTTTCGATGGTGTTTCACATGTTTCACCTAAACAAACAACTGCGCCCTATGTCGTGTGAGGGCACCCGAAAAAAAATCGATCTCGGTGATCTCGCGATTCTTTGGAGGCGAGCCGGTGATAGGGGATCACAATCGGCTAAAATCACTAAGAAGCAGAAACCATAATATTGGGCAAGTCCAAAAGTACAGTCTAAGCATGTGTAATGGGCAAGTATGACTAAATCTATAGTTACACATGATTATTATGGTATGATATGGAATAGATAATGATTGCTATAGATAATAAGTAAAATCACTATAGCATAATCATGGAATATAGAACCATAATCACTAGAATTCACTATAGTTATGATTATGTCTACTAGAACTCACCATAAAACCCATCAAACCTCTGAAATTCGCTATTCCCGTCTATGGCCATAATTCATTATTCATAAACCAAAATACTTCACTATAACCATGATATCAATAATCAATAAGACATATTCCACCTTGATTATCCCACTCTTCAAAAACCAACTTATTATCATCCCACTTGGTTGATAAATACCACTGTAGAATCCCCTACATAACCCCCTTTAATTCATTATAATTAAGGATCGTCATATTCCTATGGCCAAGTGGCATCAAGTGGCTATAAACCACTATTCATATCCCCTAATGAGTAAATCATTCACTATAATCTAATCAGTGAATAATAGATACTATTGGTAGTATATACAGTATTTAGTCATAGTATGTAATAGCGAATGATTATATAATACTAGTAGTGTTATTTTTTGATGTGATGTGATATCAGTGAACTACTCAGTAAGATCATAATATTACTATTACCACAGATAATAGTGTATTTTATACTAATAGTGTATATCACAGCTATTGGTGTTTCATAATAGTATTACTAATAAATTACTATGATACTAATATATTTTTGATGTGATGTGATGTGATTATTAGTCATAAACCAATAAATGTAGTGATATCACTATTACTAATTAATATCACTATCACTAATTATATTGATATCACTATTACTATTATATTGCTAGTGAACTATGTTTAGTAACAATGATTATTATAGTTCAATTAACAGTTCATTATTGGTTTCAATGTTATTCATAATGAACCATAGTAACCAATGGAACTATTAACTATTACTATCATTCAATGGTTCACTATTGATTTCACAAGTGATTTCACTATTGGTTCACCATAATTGTTTTATAATAGTTTTTTAATTGGCTCACTATTCTTATATTTCACTATTGTTTGTAATATATTTACTAATAAATTTACGAATATTTTATTATAACTAGTTTATTTTTACAGTTCACGATTAACTGATCATCACATATCGCTTCACTGATAATTCAATGTGTTAGTAAACATGTTAACAAACATTATATTCATTCAATTTATAGTTCAACATTTTATTCATTCAATTTATAGTTCAACATTAAATTCATTCAAATTATAGTTCACTTATATTCATTATGTAGTAAAATCATACATTATAGTTTATAGTTCATGATTAATGAAACCGATAACTATAATACGTAACTATAATAATATATAATATCAATAATTATACTATTAATTAGTAAACATTATATTCATTCAATTTATCTAATTGGCGGTTTCACCCCCCTCGAAAAATATTAGCCAGATTGGATCATCATCCCAACTATTGGGGAAAATAAAACATGTTCCAAACCACCAACCAGTTATAGTTCACTGATATTCATTATATAGTAAATTATACATTATACATTATCATAACTATAAAATAAATATAATGAATAATGGACCATCATTATTCACTGATCATCATAGATTATGACCATAAATCAAAAATTATGAACATTATTGGTTTATGGTAATAATTATAATGAATAATAAACCATAATTCGTATACCATTTGGTAATTTAACATTATCATAACTATATAATCATAATATATAGTTCATAAACCAATAACGATTCACTCATCGCCATGGCACGGCACACCCACCGAGGTGGCAAAGAGCAGCGTTTCCAAGGCATCCACCGGGGCAGCACCTGCCGTGCGGCCAACCGTGAACGGCTCACGCCGGTTTTATGATGACTTTCGCCGAGGAAAATGGGGGTTTCACCCGGCAAAATGGGGCTTTGACCGAGAAATATGGGGCTTAACTGAGAAAAAATGACAGTTTCACCTAGAAAAATGGTGCTTGAATAAGTTTTTCATGGAGAGAAATAGTGGTTTGTAGCGACAAAAATGGGATTTGAAACATGGTGAGTTGAGCACGAATTGAGCCATTCCATGGCTAAATGGCTGACCCAAGAAACCTGACCAACTAATCATCAACCATCATTTATCAGTATAGCAACTTAATTATATCCCCATCATTCAAAAAAATATATCTAATGGTTAGAATCCATATCGTTACTAATGTTACTATAATCAATTATAGTATATCCACTTAATTACATCCCCATCATCTATATATATATATATCTATATTTAATGGTTAGAATCCCTATCGTTACTATAATCATTTATAATCAACCAACAAGGCTTGGGAAGACTAACTCACAACTCGTCAACCAACCATCACTTCCAGCAGCTCGGTGGACTCCCAGATCTTTTCGTCTCCGTTTCGCCACTACGGCGCGATCATCCGCTGGTGGGCGGTAGGGAGGAACCCAGCCTCAAGACGCTGAAAAACATTGGCATTTCACAAAGGACAGATTTATGATTTATTGATGTTCATTAAGCCATGCCCTCAAAAGTGATATCTAAATTATTTTTGCAAATAACATATATGATATGTATACATATGTAAGAAACCAAACAACATCAAACAACTGATTCTTAACGATGTATATACTATATGTGTGTATGATTATAAGAACTATATATATATATATGAACAATAAAGGTTTAGCTAAAAAACTCACCAAGAGACCAGGCAATTTGATCCAGGAGATTTTTTGGGATCTATCAATTTTTAGCCGTGGTCTCCCAGACCAACGAAACATGGGAGATCAACAAATGTGGCTCCAAAACAAATAGACTCTTAGTGATTTCTTTAAATGGAACTGGCGAGTTGTATTTCACACATACCAAATTAACAAATTGTTCTTTGATTTTGACACCAACAAAAACAGGAAGGACAGCCAAAAGGTCCTTGGAAAAATGGAGTTCTGCACATGACAAGTCTACACCACTGGATCGACCAATCCGTCAAGCTATCCTATCCCTTTTCAGAAGATGTTTCCGATACAACTGGCAACAACGCAGTTATTCAAAACCCAGGAAGAAACCATTAAAACAATGTCAAACATTGGGATCATTTTCCCTACTAAAATCAACTAACCACCTATTTGTGCCAATTCAGTCGTTGTTGTAGCCATTCATAATCATGAATAGTAAAATGTCTATTTCAGAATTCTGACTATATTAACAAATATCATGCTAAATGAATGACAATTTTAGAATTGAATTTACATGATCTTCCTCTTCATCATCGTGCCATGGGGGGTGCCATATCCCCCATTTTACACCTCTATAAACTAACATGGCAATTGGAAATTACTCGGTGATGTTTTTGTTGCTTTTTTCCACCCAAAAACCGTCATTCAAAATGATCATTTTCTGTCCCCATATCTTTGATAGTTTAACGTTAAAACCATAAAACCCCTACAATTCATATTATGATTCCATCTATTAACCATGATTTTCCCGTTATAGAACCATCTATAGTTACCCTCTGGTAAACATACAAAACACTATATGGAAAATCACCATGCTATTAATGGGAAAATTTACTCACTATTTCGACTGGGCCGTTTTCAATGTCGCAAACTGTTTGTTTACCAAAGGGTAAACGTTAAAACCGTAAAACCTCTACAATTCATCTGGTTGGTGGTTGAGCCCTACCCCTCTGAAAAATATGATTTCGTCAGTTGGGATGATAAAATTCCCAATGTATGGAAAAAGAAAATTCATGTTCCAAAGCAACAAATATGGATGATATCATATGATATTATGATATTATGTATATATAGGGATCGCCCTCCGGTATAGCAAACTGTTTGTTTACCAGTGGGTAAACATTAAAACCATAAAACCTCTATAATTCCAATATAGTCACCACCAACCAGTATCTATGGCTATTAATGGTTGTTAATGGGTATAACTATGGTTGTTAATGGTTGTTATATAACTATGGTATTCCAAACCTCAACCAGTCATGGTTCGGCCCCATGAATCCACTGAACTGGATAGACTCCCATCCGAGCGTCAGGGAGGCGCTCCGGTCCATAGAGGCCAATAAGGACGTAGCCACGCCCGGGTCCTGAACGTTGACCCAGGGGGGGTTGACCAGCAAAAATTTTGGGATTTTCTTCATAGCGCTTCTCCACGAAACGCAATTCATTGAAGCAACATGCGACCGGCAGACATTTCTGACGCCAAGAGGTTTATACTTATACGGCTGTGGTAAAAGTCGCAACTTTTTGATGTCATCTGAAGCGTTTGAGGGAAAATGGTAAAGCTATATATAGTTCATTGGAGTTATATCTCAGCTTATAACTTCGGGGGGCCCACATTGTAGCCGTTTGCAGGTTTCATCCCATTAGATTTCGTGAATACACATCCCGGACAGGATAACCCATCCTACTTGGATGCGCTTTCCAGTTCGTATTCCGCGAATTTCATTGGGGCACAATATCTGACCCCATGTTTAAGCCCAAGCCTCAGATTCAAATCTTTACTTTCTGTTCACTTGAAGTGTACCTCAAAGACACACAATCTTCCACAACATGGATCCAGATATGAGCCAAGGCCAAAAACCTGGTAATTTGTTGATGATCATCCCGCAATATGGCCATATATATATATCCGCATTAACTTTCTCATTAGTTATATCCCAAGTTTTGACCACGGCACCTATGGCTAACCTTGGATATATCCATATCTTCCATCATATCCCATTATAAACCCATTATAATTGCTTGAGCCCATTCTATTCCCATTCTATTACCATTACTGGTAGGCAAAGCCAATAAACAATTCCACGATTCCGAACCATTTAAGGGGGTCATGTTTCCATCCCTAATAGGGGAATACCCAACAATAAATTTTTACTATTGAGTTTACCAGATTATATTCCCATTTATCCCAACATTTCTTCTGGACATCATGGGTTTTCAGCTCTAAATCTGCTGGTTGATCATCACTTACCCACAATACTAGTGCCAATCACCATAAAAAATAACATATCATATGAAACATTCCTTCATTATTTTTGGTTAACCCAGTTACCCCCCCCCCATTTTTCCATGAAATTGACATGATATGATCCATTTATGGTGCGGAGTTACCCACAACCGGCTTGCCTGGCACCAAGTACCCTGCCAAAGCGGCCAAGGCACCACTGGTCGGGCGGCTCCATGCTCAGGTAAAGCTAAGAAGACCAACAAACTCACCTTGGATCTTTTCCGACCAATGCAGAAATATATAAGATAGCCTGTGGTAAACCTTTACAGTTTGCGGAAAATCACCGCCTTTCAAATGGGTAAATCAACTACTTCGACTGGGCCATTTTCAATAGCAAACTGTTAGTTTACCGGAAGGTCGTGGCTATCTTCCCAGCCAATGTTGGGATATCTGAATCAATTCCGCTGGGATCTTTTGGCCATTGTCAATGAATTGTGGTAACTGGTAACTTACCCACATGAAACTATCCGCGATATTTCCAGTATGTCCCGCCAATGATATTCCTAATCTACTCAGATTTATATCCCTGAGATCTTTAGACCTCCAATTTTGGGACGGACTTTCATGACAATAACCTCGGATTCGAGGTGAAATTGAACCTTTGGGTCTTTGTCCCGCAGATGGGAATCGACATAAGTTGTTTCACAACTACAATAGCTGGGAGTTTTTTTGAAATTTATGGTTGATACATGAACTAGTTAGTCACCGTTTTTATTCAGCAAATCATCTATAAATGGGACATTTTCCATAGCTATGTTAGTTTAGCATCTTTCGTGGATCTTTCGACGATCATCTGTTTGGTTTGATAATTTGGAATGGTTCACCGGCAGCCCCTCGACGGCTGCTAAGACGAACGATCCAAAAAATCGGTGGATCTGAGGGCGACAAGTCGCCAGTGCCACGATGCAGTTCACGTAGTAAAAATACCTGATCTGGTCGGCGGTGTCAACCCATAATGTGAAGGTGATAATAGCGACGCACACACACACATATATAATTATTTATATATATTTAAGAGGTTTCAATGGGATACTTCATGGTTAATATCCAGTCATAGTGGTTGATAATGGGATGGATATATAAATATTAACCCTGTGCCTATTTAATGGACAATTGCAATTATTTAACTATTAAAAAGGGTGATTTTCCATAGCTGCGTTACATAACCAGAGGGTGTATGATATACATATATATATATTTATATTAATATATATATATATATCATATATACACATGTATGTTAATATAAATGTATATACATATATACATATGTATATACATATATACATATGTATATATATATATATGTGTGTATGCATCTTCAAGCTCATTTCGATATCTTTTCCTTATCATATATCTTGATCTTTCTACCACCAAACCAACATTAATAAGCATTTATAAAAACATTAAGAACCATTAACAGCCATTCTCAACAATTACTAACGCAAATTCACCCATATTCCGACCTATAGAGGTTAGAATCCCATAGTTATACCAATTAACAACCATTAATAACCATTATGAACCACTATTAACCATTATTAACAACTATTAACCCATAGTAAAAAAAACAGTCCTGCACCCGCCATCTTCCAGACGGGGTACACGATCCTGCCATCGTTCAGGTTTTCAGGGACCAGTGGACTCAGCGCTGCTGTGATGGCATTCGAAATGGATCCTGCGACCCGAGCCCGCTGCGCAAAAAAACGAAAGTCTTTGGGGAATGTGGGGTCCCCTAGAATTATCATAGTATTGTAACCAGGGAATATGTTATGATGAATATTTATAATTGTTATTATTTATCATATATGTTATGTTACATATAATTACCTACTATAGCTGGTTGGTTACCGTAAACCCCATAAACCTTTGCTAAGTTGAATACCAACTGCGATTTCACCAGGCTATAACTATATAGTGTTTATGGGGGGGGGGTCACCTTGCACTCGGAGGATCATTCTAGAAATCCTAAGTGCTTAGTAATCCTGGTGTGGGGCAAAAAAAATAGTAATTCACTAACCTGAAATTTACGGCCAGCGGGATGATTCCCCGAAAAACCGAACCATGATTCCAGGGTTTTTTGTTCCAGGGTTCGGTCGTGGGATGATCCAGCAAGTTAGATCTTTGAGAGGAAGGTGTTGCTGGAAGGAAGGTTGGTTTATGAATATACTGACTAGCATAGACATGGTGAATATATCTTGTGGTTGATGGAGTTCTTAACCTAACTAATCTTATCAGTGCTTTTGAATTTAAGCTACAATTTTTAAAGGACATGTTGCCAGATTAACCACCCTGCCTGAGCAGATGAGGCCATTGCGGGGTGATTGACATGTATCAACCAAGACTCTGGGTCTTTCATTGCCAACCATAGGGTTGCAAGCGACTCTTAAATAACGTAATGTCTAAAAAACATATCGGAACATAGGCAGCTGCACGTTGGATCCAGTGCTTAGCAATTGGTTCAGGTTCATTCAAAATCGGGACCTCATAGGACAAGAGCTACTTGCCAGTTGCAATTTCAAGGGATCATCCCAGAAACTCAAGAACTCATGAAAACTTGGATCATGGCAAGTGCACAGCTCCAAGTTTAACCAAAAAATAACTACAGTACCAGCATAGGTATACTATCAGATGTACTTTTTTGATGACATACTGATCAAACCTCAAGCTGGTTCTATCCAATGATATCCTATTAGATCCCATGTCTACCATAAGGGGGAAGGGATACCTCCAAACAGAGGAGCCGGTTAGCCATTCATCACTTACCAATCGTTGGCTGTTCAATGGGGAGTTGACTTCTCTTGTTTCACCAACCAACTTTATCATTGCAGGTCTCAGATACCCAGCAATAATGATGTCTATCTGCTTGGTATATTCATATCACATACAATACGTTTAAATACATGCTATATATATATATATACATATACATAACATACATCCAGTCTGTTTCCACAGAACATATATCAGAATCATAAAAATGTGTACTGATAAGCATAGTTGGGTAATACATTGGGGGTAATTGTGTAATTGGTGTGTAATACTAACGATAATAATGATTTCATCAAACTAGTTGAGGGAGAATTGTCGGTTTCTGTATCCATTCACAAATGAGATAAAATGAGTAATGCTTTATTTGCAGAAGGGAACACCCTGCCCTGGGAGTGCGGGTTTTCACTGCATTCTGCAACCACTGACACTGCACATGTGCGATGGTTCTCTCACTGCTTTGCAACCACTGACAATTTCTGCTTGGTTTTTCTACAATGGCTAAACACAACCAAAATCAAGAAAAACAAAACACCACACCAAGAAACAAAAAAAAACAAAATGCCACGACCCAACTCTCTGCCACTACTCCCCCCCTTGGGGTGTGCATTTTTTTTGTTTTTTTGTTTCCCCAAAGGAAGAATACTCTTATTCAGAAGGGTATGTTTGTTTTGAATACTGTATTTGTTGGCAGGTATGGGGATGTTGTAATTATGTTGAAGTCATCTAGCATATTCTGCAGAAATTGTATTTTGTTGAAGGGACACTGTAGTAGCATTTATCTAAGGTAGAGTGAACACCTGGACACTTCTTCAAGCAATACATGCTTTCTAGTGGACATGAACGCAGCTTCATTTGTAGCTTAAACTTTAATGTGATTACAGTTTTGAACAGAAAACAATAAACAAGTGCACTCCCACAGCGTCCTGTTCTCTTTATTTGGGTGTTTGGGATTCTACATCAACGTAGCATCAAATTCCATTTTATCTGTTCATCATCTCAAACTACGACCTCTCCTGCCGCGACCAGATTGAGCGCTTGCAGCATGGAACGTAACCTCGGGGACCGGCGATTGGGACAAAGCGGAGATTTTACCATCCATAGAACGTAGTACTCATGGGTACATTAAACACCAAGAACGAGGGGATGATCATCCCTTTTTTCTGTGAAAATAAACGTGCTTTTGACCATGGCATTTATAAAAATTTCCAATGTAATACCGATAAAATCTCCATAACTGATCACAAAATCCTCATGTACCATCCTATACCCATGTTCTGGATAAAATCCTCATTAATCCACCATAAAATGCACCGTTCAACCATAACAAAACCATATCAAACAACCATCGACTTTCAAAAAAATATTAAATTATATGAAAATATTAAATTATACCATATTAAAACCATATACTCCCGGTTTATTAAATCATTAAACCATGAGACCCTATTAAAACCATCATAATCCATATCAAAACCATGTCAAAACCATCATAAACCATATCAAAATCCATGTCAAAACCACCACAAACCATATCAAAAACCAAATCAAAACCATCATAAGCCATGTCAAAAACCGTGTCAAAACCACCACAAACCATATCAAAAACCAAATCAAAACCATCATAGATCAATCTTATAACTTTATTAAAACAATGATAAACCAAATCAAAAACCATGTCAAAACCATCATAGTCCAAATATTAATGCTCTATTAAAACCTCATAAACCATATCAAATCATGTCAAAACCCCCACAAAACATATCAAAAACCATATCAAAACAACCAAAGAACACCATATATCAAAAAACCAAATCAAAACCATCATAATCCATATCCAATCCATGTCAACCACCCACAAACCATATCACAAACCAACCAAAACTCGATCATAATCCATATCAAAACCATGTCAAAACCATCATAAACCATATCAAAATCCATGTCAAAACCACCACAAACCATATCAAAAACCAAATCAAAACCATCATAAGCCATGTCAAAAACCGTGTCAAAACCACCACAAACCATATCAAAAACCAAATCAAAACCATCATAGATCAATCTTATAACTTTATTAAAACAATGATAAACCAAATCAAAAACCATGTCAAAACCGCCATAAACCATATCAAAAACCATGTCAAAACCACCAAAAGCAATATCAAAAACCACGTCAAAACCACCATAAACCATATCAAAAACCACGTCAAAACCACCACAGACCATATCAAAAACCATGTCAAAACCATCAAAAACCATATGAAATACCATGTCAAAACCACCATAAACCATATCAAAGACACAATCAAAACCACCATAAACCATATCAAAAACCATGTCAAAACCATCATAAACCATATTAAAACTATTTTAAAACCATCATAAGCCATGTCAAAAACCACGTCAAAACTACCACAAACCATATCAAAAACCACGTCAAAACCACCACAAACCATATCAAAAACCAAATCAAAACCACCACAAACCATATCAAAAACCAAATCAAAACCCCCCTCACAAAACATATCTAAACCATGTCAACCATCAATAATCCGTATCAAAAACCTTGTCGAAACATCATAAATCCATGTTAAAACCGGTCAAAACCATCATAGATCCATCTTATAATATAAGCTTGATTAAAACGCATGAAAATCATATCAAAAACAAACTATGTCAAAACCATCATAAACCATATCAAAAACCATGTCAAAACCACCATAAACCAAATCAAAAACCATGTCAAAACCATCATAAACCCTATTAAAACTATATTAAAACCATCATAAGCCATGTCAAAAACCACGTCAAAACTACCACAAACCATATCAAAAACCACGTCAAAACCACCACAAACCATATCAAAAACCAAATCAAAACCACCACAAACCATATCAAAAACCAAATCAAAACATCATAAGCCATGTCAAAAACCATGTCAAAACCACCACAGACCATATCAAAAACCAAATCAAAACCATCATAAGCCATGTCAAAAACCATGTCAAAACCAACACAAACCATATCAAAAACCAAATCAAAACCATCATAAACCATATCAAAAACCATGTCAAGACCATGGCTTCTGCTTGGTCATCTCAATGTCTTCTTCGTTCTTTGCCCGGAGGGCAGCACAGGCTGCCAACTGGTGCTGCCAGAGAAGCTTCTTAGCAGCTGGCCGCAGCTTTGCTGGGATCGTGGACTCGGCAGAGCAGTGGCTGTCAACTTGCCCCATTGCAAACAGCCTGGGGACTGAGCTTCAACTTGCTGCTGGTGAGCTTTTCATCAAACACCCCTGCCATTTGTCGCAAGCTGAGCTTCTGTTCTTCCTCGAGGAGACCTTCAGCCACTCGCATGCGGTGTTGGACTGACTTGTCCACCTTCACGTACTTGGACTTCAACTCACCCATCAGTCTATATGTGCACGAAAAAACAAATCAAAACCATCATCGCCCATATTAAAACAAACCATCATAAACCATATCAAAACCATCATAATCCATATTTAAAACTATGTCAAAACCACCAAAAGCCATATCAAAAACCATGTCAAAACCACCATAAACCATATCAAAAACCACGTCAAAACCACCACAGACCATATCAAAAACCATATCAAAAACCATATCAAAACCATCATAAACCATATCAAAAACCATGTCAAAACCACCGTAAAACCATATCAAAAACCATGTCAAAACCATCATAATCCATATTAAAACTATATTAAAAATTACTTCACTTCGAATGATCCACACCATGACATTTATACATTTTCTTACTGGCAGATCTTCTGGCATTCTATCTGACATATCTTCTGGCATTCTATCTGGCATTCTATCTGGCATATCTTCTGGCATATGTTCTGGCATATCTTCTGGCATTCTATCTGGCAAATCTTCTGGCATTCTATCTGACATTTTACCTGGCATATCTTCTGACGTTTTTTCTGGCATTCTATCTGGCATATCTTCTGACATTCTATCTGACATATCTTCTGACATTCTTTCTGGCATATCTTCTGACATTCTGTCTGGCATATCTTCTGACATTCGTTCTGACATTCTTTCTGGCATTCTATCTGGCATATCTTCTGACATTCTATCTGACATCTTTTCTTCCCGTTGAGGTCCGGCAGTGCCCACTGCGATCTGGAAGTCGCAGTTGAGGTCCGGCAGTGCCCACTGAGATCTGGAAGTCGCGGTTGAGGTCCGGCAGTGCCCACTGGGATCTGGAGCTCGCGGTTGAGGTCCGGCAGTGCCCACTGGGATCTGCAACTCGCGGTTGAGGTCCGGCAGTGCCCACTGGGATCTGGAGCTCGCGGTGGAGATGGAGGAGGAGGCGGAGGAGGAGGAGAACAGCTCTGATAAAATCTAACAACCCTCACCTGGCAGGTGGGGAAAAACATCATAAACCATATCAAAATCATACTCAAAGGAAGTTGGGAAGCAATACTTCCGTGTTAAGGACAAATAGAATTGTGAGACTTGACATTGATGAAGGGTGATGTGACTTGACATTGATGAAGGGTGGTGTGTGTGTGTCTTTTGCATCACATAACAATACATCACAAAAGAATAACAGGCTATGAGACAGGGTGGTGTGAGACTTGACATCACATGAGTAAGGGAAGAGGTGGGGAAGGGAAGTGGCGAGGAAGGGAAGTGGTGACGATGGGAAGTGGTGACGAAGGGAAGAGGTGACGAAGGGAAGTGGTGACTTTGGGAAGTGGAGACATTGTAGTGGCTGCATGATCGTTGCGTGGGGCTTGTGTTGGGGAGGAAGCCGGGGCACGAAACCTTATATTTTTCTGTGTAAAGTGGCTGCAGCCGGCGATGAAAGGTACCTCCTGTGTGCGGCGGGTGCGGCTGGGGTCGTTCCGGACGCAATGGGTTCCTCCTCTGTGTTCTGCAACGAGTGGTTGTGTCAATGTGCGTATTTCTATGCGTTTCTTGAATCTGAGGTTGCAGATCGCATTGGAATGGCTGCATGATTGTTGTCATCTGGTGTTGCGATGTGCGTAGAGAGATGCGGGTTAGCCACGTGATGCTGCAAAATGCAGTGTAATGGCTGCATGAATGTTGCGTGGGGCTTGTGTTAGGGAGGAAGCCGGAGCACGAAACCTAGCATTTTTCCGTGTAAAGCGGTTGCAGCCGGCGATGAAAGGTACCTCGTGTGTGCGGCGGGTGCGGCTGGGGTCGTTTCAGGCGCGAATGTGTTCCCCCTCTGTGTTCTGCAACGAGTGGTTGCTCCTGTGTGCGTATTTCTATGCGTGTTTTGAATCTGTGGTTGTAGATCACAGTGGAATGGCTGCATGATTGTTGTCATCTGGTGCTGCCATGTGCGTTGATCCGTGCAGGTTTGCGACGTGATGCGGCGAAACGCATTGTAATGGCTGCGTGAAGGTTGCCATGGTGCCGCGGCTGCATGTGTAATACTATTGTCTTTTGCAGCTGGATCTTGTAAATAGTATTGGAGTGGGTGCATCAAGGCTGCGACAGTGATTTGTCAGCAGATTTTCTCAATTTTGATGCTAATAATTTTCCTTTTAAAGTCCTTTTAAAAAGTGCTTCAAAATCGTCTTTTTCCCGAATGCGTAGCAAGGGTTCCCGTTTCACTCTAGGGGTCTGGGGGTTGAGAGTGTGTTCGCTCGACGTTGCGTCCGCGTCCGCAACCGTTCGCAACCGTTCGCTACCGTCCGCAACCGTCCGCAACCGTTCGCAACCGTTCGTACGAACTCCGTATGGCCGTCCCTATGGGAAGTTTTGCAGAGGTGGTCATTTTTGGAGGTTTCAGACGTGTCGTTGCTTCGTTTCGCGTGGCAGGCGTGGCACTTTGTGACATTCAGACGTGTTTTGCAACGTGTTGAAAATCGTTTTGCGTGGCAGGCGCAATACTTTTGTGACGCTTTTAGAAGATGTGTTGCAGTTTTCGTGGCAGGCGCAGCACTTTGGACGTGTCCATCGTCATTTTTCGTGGCAGGCGCAGCACTTTAGACGTGTCCTGTTGCGTGTTTTTTGTAAATCGCATTGGCAGGGCTGCGTCAAGTGGCGACAAGGTGCAAATTCCGTGGCAGGCGTGGCATTTTCTGACATGTGCTGAAAATTGACGGAAGTCTCGCACGAAACATTGATTTTGAGGTTGCAAATTTTCAGGTTCTCAGGAAAACTCGTAGGAAAACGTCGATTCTGAAGCTACAAAGTGTGAAAATTGGCGGAAGTCTCGCAGGAAATGCTCGTTTTGGTGCTCCCACCTGTCTCTTCTCGCGTGTCTGGTTTTCCTGTGGCCTCGCCGTGTCTATGGGGGAAGCTGCGAAACTTGTCTTTTTGTCGTGTTGCCAACTGTGAAAATTGCCGGAAGTCTCGCACAAAATGCTTGTTTTTTCTGCATCCACGTGTCTTGTCGCGCGTCTCTCGTTTTCCTGTGGCGTCGCCGTGTCTATGGGGGAAGCTGGAAAACATATCCTTTTCGAATGTTTCCAAGCAGGTTGTCCTGTCGTTTTGCGTGGCAGGCGTGGCACTTTGTGACATTCCAACCTGTTTGATAATGTGTTGATAATGTGTTGAAAATGTGAAAATTGGAGGAAGTCTCGTACGAAATGTTCGTTTTGGTGCTCCCACGTGTCTCGTCTCGAGTCTCTGGTTTTCCTGTGGCGTCGCCGTGTCTATGGGGGAAGCTGGAAAACATCTCCTATTCGAATGTGTCCAAGCAGGTTGTCATGTCGTTTTGCGTGGCAAGGCGTGTCAGCTTTGTGAGCATTCCATTCAACCTGTTTGATACTAACGTTGTCGAAAATATTCAAAATTTGAGGAAGTCCTCGACGAAATTTTCGTTTGGGTGGCTCCCTACGTGTCCTCGGTCTCGAGTCTCTGGTTTTCCTGTGGCGTCCCCGTGTCTATGGGGGAACTCCTCACCTCCACACTCAAAACTACACTTTACCTCGCAACTCGCACTCCACAATTTACACTTTAGACTCCACACTCTACACTTTATCACACCTCCACACTTTACTTTGCAACTTACACACTCCTCACTCCTCACCTGAGAACTTTACACCTCCACACTCCACACTTTACCTACACTCTACACTTTCCACCTCCTCGCTCCTCCTCTACACTTTACACTCCACACTCTACACTTTACAATCTCGCACAGCTCCAACTTTACACTACAATTACACTACACACTCCTTACTTGTGAGTCACTCCACACTTCACACTCCACACTTTCCACTCCACACTCCACACTTTACACTCCACACTCCACACTCCACACTTTACACTCCTCACTCCACACTTTAAACTCGTCGCTTTACACTCTACACTCCACACTCTACACTCTACACTTTACACTCTACACCACACTCTACACTTTACACTTTACATTACACTCTACGCTTTACATTTCACACTCCACACTCCACACTCCACACTCTACACACCACACTTTACACTTTCCACTCCAGACTCCACACTCTACACTTTACGCTCCACACTCCACACTTTACACACCACACTTTACACTCCACACTCCACACTTTACACTCCTCACTCCTCACTCCACACTTTACACTCCACACTTTACAC